GACTTATAGAGAATGCAGTCTTGTTGCGAAACATACGCTTCATATAAATACTTTTTTCTACAGTATAGAAGACGGTTTTTTCCTCTACAACTAACATAGAAATCGTGTCGTGGTTGAAATCTCGCTCAAAATTACGCAACAGTTACGTTGATTTCACAATTTCTAAATGGCTAATTAGCGATCTTAATAACAAAATATGCCCGTTCGACATTGTAGGTTCCCCTATACAATTTTTATCCAAATCCGGGATAACAGAGGGTCGGCTATAGTTAGACCTGAGACTACTACGTATGATGTGATTCTTTTACGAGTTGAAGCAATATATACTAAATGACATATAAAATGCAACACAGACTAGGAGTGCTGTAATTTTGAGCATACTCTTACAAGTTTTAAGCCTACTGATAAAAGTATTTAAAATTTTTCTCGAATTTTCGCAAAATAGCTGAGATATCCCTCCTTGACATTAATAATGTGTTGAACCTCCTCTATTCGCTGCACATTCGATAAGTCGTCAAGGCATTGACTGGATTAGGTGATTGATGCCTTCTTGGTGTATTGCATCCCAGGCCATCTGAATTTGGTTTCGTAGAGCCTCCAATGTTTGTGGAGCGTGCGGTGAATTCTGCAACCTTCTTCACATTATGTCCCATACATGCTCGATGAAGGAAAACGTTTGGCGATCGAGGAGGCCACTTGAGCAGATTTACTCCGGACGCTTCTAAAAAGTCTAAACTAACAACCGCGACTTGAGGTCGTGCATTGTCCTGCTGAAAAAGTGGATCCTGCAATGTTTCAAAAAAGGGAAACAAACTTCGTCGATATAGCGCTGGGCAGTCATGCTACCTCGAATGAAAACTAATCGTGACCTGCTGCCATAAGCAATGTCACCCCTTACCATCACACTCACAGTGCGACGAATAGGCCGTTCGATGGAATATTTTACTCTTGCACGGCCATCATGTCTGCTTAAACAGAATCTGGCCTCATCGCTGAACACGACTGAGCTTTATTCCATATTCCATTCAAGTCTCTCCCTACTCCATACCAATCGTTGCCGAGATGCTGTGGGGTCAGTGGTAGCACAAGATGGGGATGGTATGAAAACTGTGTAAAAGACTTTATTCGGCGATAAACTGCCCTCATTGTTGTTGCCCTTCCGAAAGTATCAAACCACTGGTTCGCAACTGCCCCTGTTGCGGAAAATTGATCTCTAAGTGCTGGTTGCGACAAATAACGATCATGTCGCTCTCTGACGTCCAGTACCACTAACTCGTCGTTCTCGGCCTTCTTTGAACCACGCTTGTCAACATCTCATTACAGTAGTTTAGTTTCGATTCACCCGATTAGCAATTTCTCTAAAAGGAAATCCGGCTTCACGTAACTCGATTATCCGACCCCTCTCAAACTCGGACAGTTGAGTGAAAATAGCGCGTCTGCAAGCTCTAGACATGATAATGCAGTGAAACAACAATGGAACAAATTGGACCAACAAATCAATTTTAAGCGAACGTGTCTATATTGTTCGCATCCTGATCTGATCAAAAAGTTCGGCTCGAAATGTCTTCAACATTTTGTCAGCGTGTTCGTCCATGATAACAAATATGCTTACAAGTTTTTAACAAAATTGAATAAATATTTCATATGTCACTTAGTATGTATTATTTAAACCAGTCTGTTTGACAGCATCGAGAACTAGGGATGCTGGGTAGACACTTTCATGACTATGTCACCACCCTGTAAACATGTATGCGGGACTCAGTTGCATTTACAAAGGGGTCGATCGATTTTTGTATTAATTGCAACCCGTCCACGTGTGCGACTACGCAGCCCATTCGAGGCTTATGTCTACTTCATAATTCGAAATGTAATCGCATTGATGTTCGGATTGTATACAGTTTCAATGACCGATGATGTGAATATCGCTTCTAGCATGACCGTATCTTCACTGCTTATCAACGAGGTAACACCAAATTTGTTTCGTTGCATGAAGGATGCGTCCTGCGATCTACTTCACCTTGACGAATAAAGTTAGTCAGTGATTACTCCGTGACGGAAGAATGGGTTCTTTCAGAAAAAAATATTTCTGCAAATTACTAGGCTTGGCAGCAATACGTTCAGTATTCCTAATTTTTTCCCAGTTCTACTAACCTTGGGCAGTTCAAAAATCGGATTAAAAAGTTTCTTTAAGCTCCTCATAGCAGTCGCTGTACCCGCACGTTTAGCCTTCTGCCTGCGGGGCTGCTTCGGTGAAAGAAAAATAGTGCAAACATACCTTCATCACGCTTTAAATAAGATGATAATAGAAATATTCGATTTTGAAATGCCGTAGCATTTCCCATCTTTAGTAACGTCATTATGTTCAACGCGACAAAAATAATGTTTGACAGAACGGCTAACCTCAATAGTGTCATATATTCCTAACTTTTCAGAGAAAGTCACATAACACCTACTTTATAAAAGGAATTAAGTGAGTGACTTTGAAGGTATGTTTGCTGGCAACCATATATTCTGATATAGTTAGTACGGAGTGCAACCACAGAGTGGCGCTGATGCTTGTTTTTCCCGTCGTTCTTTTTGACAGTCCAATGTTTAATGCTTTGACGTTGATGTATTCGTAATTTTGAGTTGAAAGTTGAATTTTGTGCGGCGGCGTTTTTATTAGTTTTGTGTGGTACTGATATCTATTGAGCGGGGATTTAAAAAGTGCGTTGTGCCTGCTTGAATTGTTACAATCACTAAAGTGCATACATTTCCAAAATATGATGCCTCGCTTTTTAACAAACAGGTCGAGCAAGTGCGAAATACCGTTTTAGACAATAAAAGTAGAGAACAAATTCATAAAAGGCATTTGATGTGTGACTTACATTTTTCTGGAAATGATAAAGTGCCTGGAACCAAGAGAGGTCTGAAATGAGCAGCTGTTCCTAGTTTACATCTTCCTGAACTTTAATCTTCAAGTAAGTAATATCTGTGTTTACATATATAAACCAAGTACATGTTGTAATGTGTAATCAGCAAATAATCAGGATTAAGTGATTCGAACATTCTGGTGTCCTGAAAACTTTCACAGTATTTACGGTTTCCACAGTATTTGGAAAAATTTACCTAGCATTATAAACATAATGAAAGTCAATTCTTTTTATAGGTATAGTTTCGAAAAATGTTCAGAGTAGTCCCGAAAGTCCCGAAGGGAGTAGAGAAATTGCTAATTGTAAATTTAATTGCTCACTTGTTCTCAATAAGATTGTTATTTTATACTTTACATAGGTACCAGCACGTACAGAAAACACACGGACATCGCTTATCTCCTCGGCTATCGATGATCTTATCTTATAAAGAAATAACAAAGGACCGTCACACTGATAAGAGGTCTTTGGCAATGCATGTCTGATAACAGATTAGGTGCTGCTCCAGTTTTTTATTTTATTTTACTTAAAATATCTTAATATCCAACTCACATTTAGCTCTGCAGTAAAAGAGGCAAGTCCAAAGAGAGCGCTAGGTATTCTATATTATTAAAGGGTTCGATAACAGTTTATATAGGATCTATAAAAGGTTCGGAGTGTATCTCTACAAACTTAGTGACAAACCTTAGCATTGCAGATCCCTTTATAAAGTAGGTGTTATGTGGAGAAAGCTACTCATGAGGGCTAGGGCGCTTCTGGTTAGTCAATGTGTAGTACTGTGCTTCGGAAATATCAAACTGCACCAGATTGTTGCACCCCCAATCACCTTCACGTTTCTTGTCGGAGAGAAAGTCGTTGCTAGTCTGCTTTTCTCCAGCTCACCAGGAGAAATCGGCTTGTCACTTGTCACTCTGAATTCCTGTATGTAGGGCGTTGTTATCGGCAAAGCTATGGTTTGAATTTATCGTACAGGAAAGCAGATTGTTGATAAGTAAGAAAAGGAATGTCGGAGCCAAGGCCGATTCCTGGGAAACACTTGAGTTGATATTGTGTGAACACTCACAATTACGATGGATATCCTGCGGCCAGAAAGTCAACCGCTCATCTGTAAAGATTCTCTGGGCGGCTACAGGATGGAGGTTTGCATAAGAGGGCTGCATGCCACAGCTGATCGAACACTTTCGTGATAGGAAGTGAAAAGACATGGCCCTCTCGATAAGACTGGATGAGATTGTTTCAATGTAAGCTAAGATGTCCTCCATGGACCGCTTGTGGCGGAAACTATACTGCATGTCGCTGATACATCCGTGACGATCAAGGTACAGTAGCTCCCGACTTATGCAACCGCCTTACGTATAACGTAACGCAGAGCTATCAGCCTGTAGTTGTAAGGATCGGCTTTGGATGCTACTTTTCGGGATGGGCTGAACATGACCAAGTTTCCAGTTTTCTGGAAAAATTCCGGATCGATAAGACGCCTGGCAGGTAAAGAACTGGAGCTAGATTCGCTGCATGCTCCTTCAGATCAACGGCAAGAATCAAGTCCAGCAGGTACATTATGCAGCTTGAAAAGTGGCGCTATGTCGCTTTTTTGACATTCTGTAGAGTGGTTTCCCTACAAAATGTCCACTAGGAACTATTAAGCTGTCGTTCACTTTATGTTCACTTGCAGCAGGCGGGGAATGAACTGCTTGCACACTACCGGATATCTAGTCAACATGTTTTTTTTTTGACAATACATAAGTTTTTTACATAACTATCCTGCCTCCAAAAGTTTTGCTTGTTTCGAGCGATCTAATGCCTGAAGGCTAGAACAGTCAAGGTATTGTAGTGTTTAACCGCCTGATTTGTTGCGAGGCAGGAAAAGTATATTGCTTGTGCTATTATGTGGTACCTTTAATAAGTTTTAAGACCATATATATCCATTCGATTTGAAAAATAAAATATCCATTCAATTACCTGTATCTTGTATCTTGGTAGACCGATATTTAAAATCCATACGTAGAGAAACCTTACCTGCTGTCTGCTCTGGAAGTAATGTCACTGCTTTTTGCAGTACTCACGCCAAGGAAAAGTTTAAAATACACTTACCTATTTACTACTGTATCAACGGCTTGAAAGAGATATTCGTCCATTGTTTAGCCCCTCTTCTTGTTCCGTTATGCCACTGTGTCCGTTTGGGACGGTGCTGTATGATTCAGTGTGAGAGCCCGATTACGATCCATTGGATTGTGATACAATCTGTTGTAATGCCGTCGTTTTTAAACTTGCGGCGAGATTGTTTATTAAAAAATGCAGCAACCGGAAAAATCCACTTTGCATTCCGGTACTGTGCTCGCGGGTCAGGCGGCCTCGCGTGACATGTGACGTTTTTCGCATTGATTGGTTTTGTTCGGTTGCTAAAAATACTGTTTTCACTTACCATTGTAGCACAGTTATAATACCAGTTCCCGTTACGAAAATGCATAGATTAACACAAACAGTAGTCACTGTTCCCACAGCTGTATTTTCAATATTAGATATCATTTCTAGAAAACAGTCATGCACTTTTTTGTATTTAACGCTGTTATTTTCATCACATCGAGCCGCGATTTACGTGATAGTTCAGGTATCCAAAATCAGTAGAATTACTTTTTCCATGCAAGCTAAGTAGTTTTTGGTGTTGAAATAATTCATTCCACGTTTGCTCGCTATGATCACTGTTCGCTGAGGTTTAAGCAACACGTACAGCTTCAGAATGAGTTCACAGCAAGTCCTCATCAGCTTGTGCCATGTTAACATCTTGTATAAAAACCTACCATATGTTACAAAACATCTACGAAATGTAAAACAACGACGAAATGTCACTTTTTAAGATACGTAATACCCGCGCCATTCTAAATAGCCTCAATGCGGCGCTGATATCAATCATCATATTTGGGAGAATCAGATGGCTCTGAGATAGTACTGAGAAACCTAAATAAGTGAGTCTCCAAGTAACAAATGAGTAAATGTATCAAAGTCGACGTCCTCTTGATAGCTACTTTTCTGCTTTTAAAATATTTGTTATCAGTTAAACAAGGTTTCCAAATCATATGACAATTACATTTTTCTAAAACAAAAAAAGCCTGACTGCATTAACGAAAGGCATGTGCCTCTGATTGTGTTATTGAGTCGAATCTAAGGACACCTTAGGTGTCAAAATCTATCAGGCCGTTTGGGCTGTAGTACCTGGTATAGGAATTGTGAGGTTAAGGTTTAACATCCGTCCTTTTGATTGTAGTTTTGATATACTGCCACGCCTTTTTTTTGGTTAATTAATAAAACACAAAGATAAAAACTATCTAACGGTTTATCCAAGGAACACAGTTGTCTAGTGGCGGGCAAATTTAGGCCCTAGCTCAACAAAGCGGAGAGTAGCGGGGGGTTTGAGGGCGCCAGTGGCTTAGGACGGATTAAGCCACAACTCCCCGAGATGTTAGTCGGAACTTGTTTTGCTTGACCACCACACAAAAGGAGAATCTAACAGAGATGACGAGTTTTAAGTAACAGTACACACAGAGAGAGCCAAATAAGACAAGATATTAAATGAATCACAATATATTGATTAATAAAAAAAAACGTATATGTGCTCCACTACTGGAGTGCGAGTAATGAAAAAAAGAAAGGATGTCATAGATCATAAATACAACCTGACAAAATTATTTTTCGAGATAACCCAGCGAAACGTCTACCATGGTATATGCCCGAAGTGTTTACAAATATTTTGCGCCAAAATATTAAACTTATCTGTAGGTCTTCATTGTCAGGTGCGGCCGAGATGTCCTCAACTCTGGTCAAAATGTGGCCAGTAGTGGGCACGTCACTGAGCAGGGGCTGCTTGCTTTGGTGCCAAAAATTATGGTAGTAAAAAAACCCTAGAGAGAGAAAGACTGTTTAAAAATCTACTCTACTCTCTGTCTGAGATAAAACTACTCATTGAAAACAATCGCACTTGAAGCAAAACCATGTAAATTTTTTTGAACAAGAAAATTGAAGCAAAGGCAAAAAAAAGATAAAAATATACTAAACTAATATACCCTTGTTCTAAAAAGTTATGGCAGCTCAAAAATCAAAATCATTATCAATGTAATAGAAGGTGCCATGTAAGCACTGCCCCCATATCTGAATACGTAGAATGTCCAATAAACTCAAGAAGTCTCTAAGAATTTCAATAAGCAATAATAAATGTATAAAGATCTATGAAATTGTCAATTAGAATGATATTTTACCTGTTCACATTAGGTTTTTTTTTTCAAGGGGATGGCTTCCACCAATTTGCAAAACTGCAACAAGGTGCAACCAACTGGAGGAGAAAGGATGATGATTCTCTTCTGTTTCTATTGACTAAAAGATAGCAGATATTGAACGAACGTCATCAGGACACGCATTAAGGCACTTGGTTCGAAGGTATATAAAAAAGAACTTGCCACTGAGGGTCAAAATCCTATAAAAAAAATGGAAGACGTAGCACTCAAACCAAAATGACTAAACTTAAGTTACACAAAAAAGGGGGTTATTCCATGAATTGGTGCTTTGAGAATAATATTCCCGAGTCCGGAAAATGACGAAACGACCCCTGCACCACGACTTCGACGGAAATAGAAAAGCGAATCATGCAGAACACGTAACGTTCTAGAAGAAGGTATCTTGAGTAGCCTTGAAGAAGATATGTTTTATAGGAAAGCAACTAACGGAGAAAAACTACAGAGTTTTTTTGCTGATCTTCAACACCATACTGAATCGCTGAGAAAGAAAGATATAATACGAGTGAAATTATACCATCAATAAACTATTAGATTTGCTAAAATAAAATCATTAAGAAGGGTTTGGCCTAGGAATTGACACTCTATTGTCAATGAAGAGAAATTCAAATTACGGATAAGTGATAAATAGTAAAAAAAAGGCTACGTGATTTTGGCATGTGACAATACCCACTGCTAACTCTGCTGTCTAGATACATCTCGTATATCAAAGTCCAACAAGACGTTTAAGCGTTAGCCTGTGAAATAGGAATTCCAATACTGCACTTCTTTATTAAAATTCGCCATTTGGTTTTTATAAAATTTTAATATAGCTGGTACGGCTTGCACTGCTAAGACGAATCTACCAATACCTCATACTTCAAAATCCATCACGCCGCTTGGTCAATAGCTCGCGAAGAAGAATTTTTTGGGTACATACCAGCGGGTGAAGAATATTGATGATTGGTTGGATTGTTCAAACAATATTTTGCCCTTTGCCGATTTTTGATTGTATCACGTCATTTCGGAGGGGCAGGTCCAAAAACCACGCTACTAAGATTCTGTCCAAGTTAAATACCTTTTGAACGTACTGTATGAGGTGGAGTCATTTGATCATCAAACATCATGATGGAGTAAACGGAAGACAATCAACGTCAGGACGACCTATAGTCTAATCATATTTGTTTGGTTTGCAAAACAATTATTATAATGTTTTATCGGTGCAAAAAAAAGATGCTATCAGATTCAGGATGTATTTTTTTCGAACCATACAAAAAATATAGTTGATGGTTTCTCGAAAATAAATCGTCGGGCACAAAAAACGACGGGCACAAAATTTAAAAACTCCATCATGTAGGGCCAATAAAGTGCCAATAAAGTGTGTAGTTAATAATTTAGTGTTCATAGTCCAGTGGAATTTGAATGGTAATTTCTCAAACGAGGCCATGCTAGATCTGCTAATCAAGGAGCATAGCTCAAAGAACTGTAATGTCTCCTAAAAACAGACCAATTCAAAACATAGCAAGTGCTGGCGTAGCTGTTTTCACGAAATACAGTATTCCTGACAGTCAAATTCCCCTTATCACGACACTTGAAGCAATCGATGTATCAATTAGCTACCACACCACAATCAACATTTGCAACATATATATATCGACAAAATTTAAGCAGAGGACTCTTTATACTTTTTTTAATTCTCTCTAGCTTTCAATGGACTTTGCCATCATCATCAGGAGCTGCAATTACAATGATAACGGTAGCAACAAAAGTGTAAAATGAATTTAAATTGACTCAACTTACAGTAGTATGTGAGGATGTTGCTAATTGTTGTTTACGTATAGGATGAGGGAAACGTCCAGTAACATGGTGAGAGCTGGATAGATTGTACAATGGTCAAAATTATATAAAATATGACAAGAACAAGTTAAAAACAGATTAAAAATTATTTAAAAAACATTAGAGCATTACATCGTGAAGCCACTTGATGATTGCACAAATTAGTGGTCATGGAATAATGAGTGAGATGAAACCCTTTGACAGAAGGCCGAAGGATGTCAATGTCTGTGTTGAAAGATGGAACGAATTGTGGGCGTGTGTCAAACGTCGCCAAATCACTTCAGATGATGTGATTTTCAGAATTTTATGTAAGAATTTGTTAAACCGACCAGAGGCAGTTGAATAAACTATATTTTAATTAATGGGAATTTAACTTAACAATTATTAATAAATCGTGAGAAGAGAATTATTATATTTTGAGTGGAATGAAATTTACTGGTGGAATCGGCCAAAACACAGATTCTAATTATGGTTGTGAAGAGTCGAAATTTGGGGAGATATGTAAGTTCTCCAATTTTTCGCAGTTTAGCAAATATGAGTAAATGACACTCAGTTGTTTAACATCTGTCTTTTTGTTGATACAGTTGTTATTCATGAAGATGTGGGACATTTCCAGGAATAAACGTTTGGAAAGGTGTTTTTCTTTATCAAGAACTTTGATACTTGTGTAATTCATAGAATGCCCTGTTGTGTTAACATGAGATGCTAGAGCGCATCTTTCAGGATGAAGCCTAGCATCACTTTTGTGTGATGTAATCGTTCCTTTAAGAGATCTGGAGGTCTGACCTATGTATATTTGGTTGCAGTTGTTGCAATTGATGGAGTAGACTGTGTTGGTTAAGCCAAGCAGCGGGACTTTGTCTTTCATTTTTGAAAAAATGCAGTTTATAGTGAGGGCGGATTTGCAAGCAATTCGAAAGTTCAAAGGACTGCACAATCTGATCAGCTTAGGGGTCAGTTCCTTGATATAGGGCAGGACAGCAAAACCAAGTCTGGAGTCCGGGTTGGTGCTTGTACTGTTAGGATTGATGTTATTATTGGGAATTACATCAGTTCCGTTATTAGGGGTTGTGCGACTGTTACCTGCATCACCAGAGTTCGGCAAAATATTGGAAGGTGAACTAA